CTTTCCTGGAAAAGAAGCAAAACATTATGTGAGCTGTAGAGGAACATACTGCTTAGTCTTATGACCCTTTATGTATAACATCAGGCATGTTATACATTATATCTGTCTCTCTTAGAACTAATTCACTTTTATTAAAAATAAATGGTGATAGCGTATTGACATGTGAAAGACAAACAGGTAATGGTGATGATTTAATGATTAGTAGGGAAACAAATATTTATTGAAAATAAAAACCATGTCTAAAGGCTCTATTGCTGACTTTTGGAAACATTACCATGTTGTGGTATTTGCAATACCATATGTCCTGTACAGTAGATACTGCTTAAAATTGCTTGGGAACTGGAGCTTGCAATTGTGAGCTTGGAATGTCCTGCAGATAATTAAGTTGTGGTCAGGCTTTAGAAAAATAAAAAGTTCTCGAACTATGATTTTATAAACATGCTGCAATAACATTTCTTTATATTTAACAGTTTCTTATAGAAAGCTGATACTCTCACAAGGCATTGACTAAAGGTAAAACATCAAGAAAGAAAAAATATTAAATTAAAACTTCACTAAGTATGTTGGCTTGTAATATTAAACAGATGTGCATGTTCTCGGGATATTCTTTCAGAACCTTGTTGCATACCCATTTTCAAATGACAACTACAAATTTTTGATTAATTTAAAATTCTCCTTTCTTCAGTTGTCTTTGTTATATATTACTTTCTTCGGGCGGACTCGGCTGGACAATGTGATGCACACTGTAGTTCCTGCTGTGATATGCAAGGGAAAAGGTTCCTTTATGTAGGCTTAAATTGGGGCATGGGTCATTCAACTGCATACAAAAATTATTACAGGTATGCAAAGATTCTCGGGTGTGATGCTACCTTTGCATGGGTAAGTAGGGCATTTATCAGTTCTGATTGTGGATATGGTAGGGCATAATTTGGTCTCTTTGACTCCACATAGGAGTCAATACCAAAATAAAGAAACTTAAGTTTTTTAAAGATGTAAGTTTAGTGAAACAAAGGGAATTATAAATTAAAGGAAAAGAGTATAACACATGTCATAACATAAATGACAAAATACTGTGTCCAGTTTTATGTCTACCTTTTTCAGAGATCTGGTGTTGGTGGGAGGTTGTTTTGTTTTGCTTTTTACAGAAGAAATGTAAAAAAAAATGATTTAAAGTCTGAAAAATCTACTTTATGGTGAGAAATTTTCTCATCCTATTTTGTTAGGGCATATGATCACAAGAAAAAGAGTCTCCAATTGGTCATGGATCTTGTGAAAAAAAACAAAAATAAGATACAATGCTGTAAAAAGTATACATTATTTGTGGTGTGATTCAGCTGACCCTTGATTTGATAGATTCTGCGTCACTGGAAATCTCTAAGGTCAAGTGCATATATTGCAAAATACGTATGGTACTCAACAAGTAATGTAGGAGTTAATGCATAGGGATGGCTCAGGAATTCCTTTTTACGTATGGGACACTGCTTTGTACCAAAGCAAAGAATTGGATACCGGTTTCCCAAATCCCAGACCACTGCTCCAGTGACCTATGACTCTGATCAGTTTGACCTTAGACTGTGCAAATGTATGAATGTTCTGTCTTCATTTTGAATAATAAATGAACTTAAAAGGAAACAACGTGTTAAAGTATTTCTAAAATAAAATAGCCACATTAGACTTAACAGGGTGCTTAATCTAGTTATCTACTACAGAAGTTGCTGCTAAGTAACATATTTTTTTTTTTTCATGTACAAAGACAGTTAAATGATTTAATTTTTTTTTAAGAAAAAAGGACGCATTAACAAGTGTAAGGTATTCATTGGTTACATAATACTGCATTTCTGTGATCTTCATACCAAATCAGTTTCATGTATACAAATTGGATATCACCTTTCTTTGTTTATTTTAAAGATTTTTGATACGATGATGCACCATAATCTGAGCAAGACTAGCTTATTGTAAGAATACACTTTATTTCTCCTAATGATTTTGTTTCCAGTTCTTAAGATTTTCAGCTCACGGTGGGACCCATTAAAGTATAGAAATACTTATGATAGCTCAGATACTGTTTCTTATGTTTTTGCATGGGATATAAAGGACCGTATAGTAAATACAGGAAAATACATCTTAGTAATTGAAATGTGAAGGAGAAGAAAAAAGGAAAAAATATCAAAAAGTTAATTAGTTGGTCATAAATGTAACCTAGTATAACTCCTTATATCATATTTATTTTCTTCTGTGTTATGGCATGGAGAATACATGGTGCTGTGGTATAGCTGTTAATTTACCATTGCTTCATAATTTATTGTCTGAAAAATTACAGTAGTTTCAGAAGTGGTTTGTGAGTCCACACAATACATGTGAAATACTTATTCTAGTTTTATTTTGTAGTTTTTTTGGGAAAATAAGGCATGTGCATTTTTTTGAAAGAAGGTTTTGTGGTTTGTTTTTTTTTGCTTAGAATGAATGAAAAGAAGACTTTTCTGTATAGCTCTTACATATAGATTCTTATTTTAGTGAATTCAGCATATGTGCTCTATGTAAATTCTAATCTGAATATTATTCCAATTTTAAAGAAATACATTTAAAAGCATCCATGAGAGATATGAGAAGGAAGATAATGCATATGTTACATGGATTTTTGTCTTTTGAGTAAATTTGCGCGCTTGTTTTTGACACTGACAAGAATCAGACGTTTACTTCAAAGACTGTTTTTGTTTGTTTGTACGTGGTTGTTACTGATGCTTTTACCTTTAAAAAAGAGCTACTAATACAAAAGCGTGTCATTTTTTGGCAGGCTTTTTATGGATTGAACTGTTTTGAACAAACTGATTTGTATCAATCAGTTCTTAAAACACAGTGGAAGAAGTTTCTTCTTTCAGTGAGGCTTGTAAGTTGTAGTGGCGATTCCACACAGCCTGGTGATGATCAGCACGGCTTCTCTCGCAGCAGGCGAATAACGAATAACTCTGTTACTCTCACCCATCTTTTTGCTGGGGCTTCACGGCGGTTGCTTCTGACTTCAGGTTTTGTCCCTTATGTAGAGAACTTTGAAATACTATGAGTGAAATGTTAATCATGGGAACTACATGAGATAACTTGCTATGTTCTTAAACCTCTTTCGTTAGCAAACTTGGAGACAGAGGGAGATGATATTAACATATTTATCCTTATTATTGGTGTTTAAATACTAATTTGCTGGCAGAAAAACTCTCTAAGTGTCTGATCCTACAAAGGTAACTTTGACTACAGCTGTTGCCAGTGAGATACTGTTGATGATTAAACACAAATGTATCTTGTAACAAAAATACTTTCTTATTGGAATTTTATAAGCAAGATGACTGTTGTAATGCAAATAAACTGAAACTCTTAAATAGAAAGTTGTTTGGAATTAAGTTTCCTACCTCTTTTAAGACTGTGAACCAAGCTATTATATTGTCTTCTGATTGCATGATGTATTTTCTGTTTTAAATTGCTATTGTGGTAGTTCTGAGTCCTGAACTTGAGAGCAGAGCTAGATATATTTTGTGGAGCATTTGAACTTGTAACTAAGCAAGACGTTTAAAGATGCAAAATGAAATCCTGGTTGTACTGAAACAGGCTGCAGAATTATGGTTGATTTAATTGGAGAAAAGATTTTTTGCAAAAAATTCTTAGCAGGGCAAAAGTTTAGTGCTCATTTTGTTCCATGTTATGTCTTGTGAGTGAGAGTGAGGATGAAGGCTCCAATAAGAGATTGCTAAAAGATAAGTCTTAAGTGCTTTTTAGGATTTTTTTTATTAAGGTATGTTCCTCACTTTTTTTGGTTTGTAAGAATTGAACTGAATTCATTGGGACTATTCATACACTAAGAGCATTCTCAGAAAATTCAGACAAATGGGAAGGAACTATGAGTAAGGACACTTCTAATTTGTATTATTTATTCATATTTCCAAAGATACTCTGTACCTTAAACCAAAATAATTCTATGAATATTTATGCATAACAGTTGTTGGGTAAAACTTACAGTTTTTCAAGAAAGTGTAGTTTTGAAAATATGTAAGAGTTGTAGCAATTAACCTACATGCACATTTATAATTCTAGAAAATGGACAGTGTATTACATTCAAAGACTGGATCTGATAGACCTAAATTGCTTAAAACATCAGTTATTGAAGATGTCCCCCTGGGACTTTGAGAAACCATTTAACAGATGAAAGTACATTTTGAAAAGTTTGACCTTACAGGCAATCATAAAATGAATCAAAACAGTTCTTTCCTCCCTGAAATGTACAGAGCCCATCTGTATCTAATCCAGTAATTATAGACTGAGTTCAATTACCTTTTCAAACTTGGAGCAGACTGGAGACTAGGCAGTGAACAAACATAGGGTTTTGTCTAGACCTCAATTGACCACAGTCTAAAACTTGAATTTATATCTAATTTTATTTTTAGCTTTGTTTGATAATTTTAAAAGGATTTATTTTGCTACCTAGTTGCTAGATCGTGAAAGTTTTTACTTCTTGGCCTAGTGTTTACAGCTACATTTGTTTTTATCCCTGTGAAGTTATTAAAACGACACCAAGTCCTGAAAGTTTACTGGATAAATCATTTCAAATGTAACAAAAGTGGGTTAACCAGCTTTTTTGAGTCTTTAATATGGCTACAATGAAATTATGAAAGAATCTGAACAAAAGAATGTGAATTATTATCTGTGGTCTTATCCGTATACTTAATGTTCAGAGTAAAAAAAAAAAAAATTGTTTTTTGCTCTTTTAGAAAAATGAACCCCAAACCTACCTGACTGCAATATTGCCGGTAGTTGACAGAGATTAGAAATCATGCTGAAAACAGTTTTTTGACTATTTATGAATTTATTTCGGTTAGAGCAACCAGACTATCCATTCAGCCATAGAGACAGTGTTAAAGAATACTTAGACAGCCCCAGGTTGTTTCAGCTAGTGTAGGTTGTGCCTTTGGCCGCCAAGTTGAAGCCCAGGCATCTTTTTGTATTCTCTCACTAAGGAAACAAACCGGATAATACACATCTCGTGGAGAAGTATCCTGCGCTGCCTTCGCTGTCTGACACGACAACGCTGCCAGCACGATGCTCTGATTATTCCTCACACAACGGGTTCATGTGCGACTTTCGCTTGAAAAGCGAAAAAGTTCTTCGCGGTAAAGACGCGCGTAGTTTGCAGATACCAATTGCAGGGTGCAAGACTTTCGTCGTTACTATCGTACGTTTCCTATCTCTTGGGTAACATGGTGGAGCATGGTTAAGGACAGAATAAACGCTATGTTTTTGACTTTGGATTGTGTGTTGTGCTTTTGATGGAATGGCATCTCTTGGCAAGTGAAGGCTATGATAATTGGTGAGTTTAGTTTAACTTACTGATCCTTAATTGTAATCAGTATTTTGTAGCAGTTGCTGTGATTAGTTAAGAATGTGGTTCATGATGATTTCCAAGTCAACAAATATTTAGCAAATAAGGCATACTGTTCCAACGAGTACTAAATTTGATGTGACAAGCGGGAATCTTTTGATGTTTAATTGGTTTACCTTGTAACACTTGAGAAAAAAAATGATCTAACGAAAACTTGCGTAACTGTAAAGCTGAGAGGCCCAAGAGATTGCATTGATTATTCTAAATGTCTATAGATTTTATAAGCATGGGAAAAGTTCTTCAATGCTTGTCTTCTGTTTTTTTTTGTTTGTTTGTTTTTTGGGTTTTTTTTGTAACATATAGTAGTTTTCTGGATGAATGATAGTGTCCTGAAAAGGTAATATGGAAATATAACAAATTATTTGCACAATTGTGATTTTAAAACAAATCTTGTAATAGAATATGATGAGGGAATATAGTAGGTTTTGGTATATAGCATCAGTCTGATGAGGTTTTCTTTCTTTCAAAAAAGGACTGTCATTCACTCAGAAGTCAGGAAATCCAGTCTTCAATTTCAGTCCCTCATCAAAATTCTGTTTACAAAAGCACTGAGAACTTGTTTCCTCCCAGCCTTAACTCCACGCTAGGAGCTAAAACGACCTTTTAACTGCTGATAATGGTGAATGTCGTAATCTGTTGTACAATCGTGTTTGTATTAGTAGGTTTATCATAAAAGATAAGACCATACGCTGTCTAAAAACAGTGAGCTCCTCCAGTAAGCCCCCTAGCACTTTTTTTTTTTCCTCCTTTTTACCATAATGGCCATAAGAAATAAACAATTCATCTGGAAATTCTGGTAAAGTTTGTTGCCATTCAACATAGCACCAGGCTTTGTAATTGAAAGTAAGGATGGTTGATGTAAGTTTCTGAATTTTTAATTTATGTAATGAAGTTGTGCTATAGCTTCATAGGAGTAAGGAAAAAACGACTACGTCCAAGATGCTGAATCTGTTACTTGTACTCTGTTTCGTTTTGTAGGGCTTCAGTGTCACACAGCACTTCAAAAACAAAAGCATTTTAGAACAACAGCTAAAATGAGTATGTTCCAAGAGTAAACAGGCAACGCCTTTAGTCTGTAGGATACCTGAAATGAGAAGTCTAGATTGTGCACTATGTGTAGTCTGATCTAGGAAACTTTAGTTCTAAGGAGTAGTGATGCTCCTCCTCTCACCCCAAACGCTAAGACTACTAATAGTAATTGTTCAGAGTAACGCCTGCTACAGTAGACAAAAATTGTGTTACACTGAAAATGGAAAAATGACTGTTTCATATCTCTCTCAAGGCTTTTCATGACCTTATCAACTCTCTTTGTCCCGAGTGGGGGTTGGCTGGTACAGTTCCACCTTGTTGCTCATTAGCAAAAGGAGTTTGTTTTGTGACTGTTGCAAGAAACTATGGAATTTCAGTTAGGAAGTCGCATCCAGCTAACACTGCCTACTAGATTTTCTGCCATGTGCATTGCATATGCTTCATATTTTTAATGTAAGAGAAAAAGAGTCAGTGCTATTATTTTTTTTTAAAAACAACTGGTTTTTGAGTTTAATGGAAAGGAAAGTTTTAAAAGTGAAAGTACTTGTCCTTTGTGCTTCAGTGGATGTTTTTACGTTGACTATTTTCAAACCAGATTTCTTAGGTCAACTCTTATGATTGCATGTGTGTCCTCTGCATTGGAGTGCATGCTCTGAACCAGGTGGAGAGCATGCATCTTCTGACTGCTTCTTAAAGTTAATGCATTTAATTTTCCTTGTAGAATCATTTTTAAATCTAGAAGTATTAATAACTATATTATAATCCTCAGACTTTAGCAAAAAATGGTGAGTCTTCAGTAGTCACCCTATTTTCTTGTGTTTCACTCATTTAAAAAGAGCAGCTTTCTTTTGCCCCTATTCCAACTCTGTGAGTCGTGTTTTGTCGTAGCTCTGTTGAAAGTAAGCAGGTGAGTTAGCTGGGAGACAGGAAAGGACTGTTGTATTTTCAGGTGTCTTGTATGGCCTTGCAAAGTTCTTAGAGACTACTTTGTACTTCTTTGTACTACATTACAAGCATTTGTGTGTCCATGTGAGCCTTGATCTTGGCTAAGTCTCCTAGATCACTCTCTATTATGGACTGGGGTAAGAGAAGGAGACCAGAAGCTTGTATCTCCTGTGTTAGCATTGCTTAGGATGATGCATATTCATGTGCCTTATTACACAGTTGCTTAGCTCACCCCGATCACATCCAAATTTCTTCTCTGCTGACTAGGAATAGTGATATTGCAAGAGCAAGCATCAGTTTGGGCTGGTATGCTCCAGGCCCTAAATGTGTGCAATTTTTACATGTTTTTGCCATTGCTGCTGAGGAGCATTGCTAGATAGGGAGGTTTTCATAAGTCTGTCTTTGAGGTGCTGGTAGGAGGAGCATATAGCATGTTCAATGTCATCGGGCTTTGGATGCAGCTGGAAGAAATAGAAATTTTTCTTGCAAGGGTACATGGGTGTGAAGGAGGGATTGAGGGGAGGATAACGGGAGCACACGATTTACCTTTTCTGCGAGACAGGAGGAGGTTACTTTGCTGGGAAAAGTCACCTTCATTCTCTGAGAGAGATGACTTCGAAGGGAACTCATGTAAAATGTTGTCAGTGTGCCATTGCGTTACCTTTGTTTTCTTGATGGTAAAAATTAAAGCTATTGTGAGTAACACCTTGTTTTCTGGCTGTGAATAAAGAGCCAGGTTCAGGTTTTGCTCCAATGAGGTTTTATTGGGGGATCTATGGACAAAAATATTTGAAGTAGACCACTAACACTGCAGATTATAGTCTGGTTGTATTGATGTTCATACATTGGAGTAGAGAACATAATTATTTTGTGTTTTGACAACAAAACCCTACTCTTTAAAAATCAGTGCTTTTGTAAGGGTTGCCTTTTGACATTCAGCTGTTTGCTTCCTGCTTTAAAAGACCCTCAGCCAAGGAGGCAAGGGCAATGCCATTCTGGAAACTCACCTCTTTATCACAAGCAGTGAGGGGAAAAAAAAAAATTGGAATAATGTTTTAAATTATGGAAAACGCTATGCTTTTCTGCTGCAAGTATCATAGCAGCTTGCTGGTTTTCAAATAGCAAAGCTAGACAGTGAGTCACCCCATGTAGAGGGGCTTCCTGAGGACTTGAGAGTTGTTGCTGTGACTTATGGACAGTTACTGTCTTTTTAGAAACTTATGGATTTAAGCAGCTTAATTTTCTTTCTTTTCTTCAGTTATTTATCTATCATTGTATAATAGAATAATTTGTTTTGGAGTATAGAGTTTAACTTTCTAGTTGTAAATAAGACTGAATATTTCTTTTTTTTTTTTTCCTGACATGGTCTGATAATTTCATATTGATATGATTGAGGGAGTCTTGGAAGAAGGCCTTATATACAGGTAACGTAACAGCTAGAAATGCCACATAATAACTCGTCATAATACATAGGGGAATTAGAGAAATGATCTGGTAGGTTGTATTTCTTTTGATAAAGATTCCTCCTACTGTATACTTGTATATTTTTCACAGCTTCTGTTAGATTTATATGACTATTACATGAGTTCTCACAGGAAACTATTTCAATCTATTATGATTTGAAAAATTTTCTAGGTTTTGGGTTATGATTTCTTGTTTTGATGTTATATTGTGAAGCATATCAGTGTTTCCTCATGTGAACTTGAAGTTCTTCTCCTTGCTTTTTGAAAGCACAGCAAATGATGATGCTCTTTTAGCTCTTACTTAACTGAGTTATAAATATTTAATAATTTTAACTTTGAGGTTCTTTATGCATTATAATTGTTTTTGAGGGTCTGCGTGCTGGAATGTTTCGTGCAACCTTGTAAATACTCTTAGTCTACAGGAAATACTGTTTTTTTTTCTGAACATAATGTCATTTTTTTTTAGCTGCTAGCATATAAAAATGTTTCCCAGTCTGTGCTTTCTTTCTTGTCTGCTATTCCCAAACTTTTTACATTAAAAACTCATAAAAATTTTTGTGCTATCTTCTTGTTGACCTCACAATGTCGTAAGTTTCTCAAGATTGCTCTTATCACTAAATATGTTTCTTACATTTAACTTCAGCTTCTTTAATCTGAAAAATCTTTAACTTTTTTCTTATTGATTGACATCTATTTCGACTACAATTAAAAAACTCAGAAATATGAATGCTTTGTTCAAATTGGTTCAGTGAGTATGATTAAGTAGTAGTCCACCAGGTAAAAATCTTATGACTGCATACAAAGCTGTCTATTGAATTAAAAAGAGTAACCCAATTTTAATTTGCAATAGCAATGTTCTGATTTTCATTAAATAAATTATGTTTTACTCTTTTGTTTAAACTCGAGATTAATTTCTGTGGTTACAGGGGATATAAATCTCTAGATTGCTTTTAAAAGGGATTGTTTATTCAGAACAGGACTGACAGTCTCTCCTTAAGACAAGCTATTAGTTAATTTTATTTTTCTAAGTTTAAATGCTTAAAAATATTTGTAATGTTACCCCAAAGGCATCATAAAAATGTAAAAATAATTATACTCTAAAATTACCAAAATTACAGGAAATGGGACATTTAAAAAAAATCTTACTGAGTTTCATTGCTGAGAAAAACTGAGAAAGAAAAAGTGCCTTCACAACTTAAATTCTTGTTAGGAGTTTCTGCTTTCAGTGATTAAAAATATACTTTTGAATTGTCAGCATCACTCAGATGCAAAAGAATACCATTGATTTCCCTTTTAATTACAGCTAAAGCTTACTGCGCACAAATTCTGCAAGCGATTTCTCGGGAGAAATTTCTATGTGGCTGTCTAATGGAATTTTTTCAAGTAGAAGTTATTTTCCCCCATGGTTGGAGAGGGACTGTTTTTTTTTTTTTTTTTCATAGGCCAAACCGGTTGGCAAATACCGCTGGATAGATCAAACCCAACATGAATAGCGTTTTGTGGTGAACAAGTGCAGGAGTCCAGAGACACTTTTTCATGCTGCGTCATATGTTAGCTTGGGAAGCTACTGATCGTTTGGTAGTTAACAGAAGTATGGCAGAGAGAAGTAGTCTAAAGGAAGAGATTTTTCTTAGGCGTTACGGCTGGACTTCGGTCACGTCAGAAGATTCTTGAGTGGGGACAAATTAAGATGTCTTCGTTGTCAGTGATGCTTTTAGGCCAGCTTGTGCTCTGATGAATTTCTAGCCCTTTTTGTAGAGTTGAGAATCTGTCCTGGTTTGCCTTAATTACCATTTTATAAGAGACTTTTGTTTCTTAGAAAAAGATTGGATGGAGGGAACATGCTATCAGCAGACTAGATTTCAGACTGACTCAGTTAGTATCCCTGTCTAGTCCAAGATTTGTGAAGAGGATTATCCTTTTTTTTCTTTTTTTTTTTTTTTGCTACTGTTGTTTTCCTCACCTCAGTTTAGGCAAAATTTTTATTTCCCCATGGATGGAGGAGGGATTTTTTTTTTATTTGGTTCTGCTTCCTAGGTGCTGTAACAAGAATACTAGCTTGTTCAGAAAATGCAGCAAAGAGTCCATGTGAAATGGGGCAGCAGGGGAGAGATCTGTGCGCCTCATTGAGAAACTTTGTCTGTAGAAACATCTTGTAGATGCCCCGTCCCTGGAAGTGTTCAAGGCCAGGTTGGATGAGGCTTTGGGCAACCTGGTGTAGTGAAGGGTTTCCCTGCCTATGGCAGGGGGGTTGGAACTAGATGATCTTTGAGGTCCCTTCCAACCCAAATCATTCTATAATTCTATGATTTACTGAAGATGTGAATAGCCTCTATCAGTGCGTCACTCCGCGTCAGCCACATAAGGACTTACAGCGACCAGGTGGCCCAGTGAGTTCCTAGGATTTAGTGCAGATGATCCAGGTCTTGGGGTTTTCTGTTGCATGGAGAGGGGGAGAAGAACCCTCCGTCTTAATTTTTCTGCCAATACCATAAAGCTCTTGGATGAAAATCTTAATGTGTACAGAATTAGCGTCTTTCCAGTTTATTTGCTTTTATGCCTGATCTATACATGTTCTTGAAGTTTATGGTTCCTTATCAGATTTCCAACTGGGTGTTTTCTTGGTCCAGTTCATTGTTTTAATGGAGAAACTTATTTGGCATAAATGCTAGAGCAACCACTGAAATAATGTTTCATCTGTGTAATACAAATGAAGGTGTTGAAATGTAATGAAAGGATTTTTCGCACTAAGAACGCTATTGTACTGATAATGAAAATCTAGAAAAATACTTGTACGCTGAAACAGAATGGTGCTTGTCCCCCTGAATCATATTTAACAGAGTGGTAGGACTTTGAGACAGAGTAAGTGCTGTGTCAGTTCATGCTGCAGCAACGTGTAGGTGTATTAGTGTAAATACACCGGAAATGCAGAACTCTGAATGAGAAGGGCCTGGCAGAGGAGCTGGGACTGTGGTCTGGCCGCGGCTTCAGCAGAGAGCCCGTAGGCACAGCTGGTGCCACAGGCTGGGCTCTCTGGTGCCCTGTGATGGCTTCCGCTGGAGCGGATTCGGTTTAGTCCCCACGTGCAGCACGCGCACATGTAACGCTCTCTGAATTGCGCTGCAGAAACTGGGGTTCGGAATTTCGTAACGATGATCGGACAGCGTACCCTTTTATTGCTGTATGTCTGTTAAATGAAACTGGAAATCTTTTTATATTGTAAAGCGTCTTTGAGTCACGAAAACATAGCACTGAAGAAATAGAAACCGTGAGAACAAGAGACAAGAAAAATATCTCCTCTCTTACAGAAGGACACAAGCAAAGTTGAATGGGTTTACTGAAAGGTTGTAAATGGAGCGTTTTGAACATGGGAAAGGCCAATCATTGCAAATATGTATTTTGGCTGATTTATCTTAACTGAAACATTCCCCACAATTGTTGCAGGGGTTTATATTGTAGTCAATGAGGTTTTAGATGACTGTGTTTGGAAAAAAAAAAAAAAATTATTATCCATCTCTAATCGTAACTTTCTTTAACAAGAAAACGGAAATAGTAGGCTTTATTAAAATCAGATGCTGCTTTTTTTTTTACTTGAAAGTATTTGTTGCCACAGAGAATAAATGAAGACTGTTTAATAAAAACATTTAGTGTGATGTTACATTTTAGAAAGCCTACTGTTAATTTTTTTCTGGAGATCATGTCATGTTCCTGTTGACTCTCTACAGATGATTTTCAGAATATTTGGATGTGCTTCTGTACATGCAGGTATTAAACCAGTGTCTTCTCACAAAACTTAAGAAAACAGTGACAAAATTAAAACGTTTATCTTAAATCCTACATGTATTGCAGGTTTCCGATTCAGAACTAAAGTTCTGAATACTATAAATTTAGTATTTATAAGTAGTTATTCTATAAAATAAGATTTTTTTTCTGTATTTATAAATATGTGAAATGAAAAGTATTAAAATGATTTTAAGAATGCACAATATACATTAGGAAAATTTCAGTCTAAAAAATTCAATAGCTTCAAAATAATTTTTCTATACAGTTTGAGTTTGCTGTAGGTACCATACACATTTTTAAAAATGTAGCAACCCCATCCCCAAATAACACCTCAATAAACCCTAAATCCAGTGATAATACTGGATATTTTCAGTCTTTATCATGGTCAGTGGGGAACTGGAGCTTTTGAGCTCTTAAGTCTTGGTTTTGCTTTACTCTTATTAGGAAAGTCTTTAACAAAGAATGATTTGCAGTTGTGCCAGAAAACTCCAAAAATAGTCTCTTCATCACACATTTGACCAAATCTTATTCCGAATCTGGATTATTTTTAAGCAAAGCACAGTAAAATTAAATTTGAGGCTTTTAGGCCGGTAGAGTTATATACTACCAAATTTTCTGTTTTGTCTACTGAACAGTGAATAAAAAAAATCAAGAGTCAAGTGCAGATCTAAAGTGCACTTTAGAGGCTAAATGTTTAAAATGTGAACTGATAGCCAATTTTTTGAACCATAGGCAGTGTTTATAAATATATGCTAACTAAAGCAGGAATTAAACAAAAAATATTTCTTTTAAAACAAGCTGTTTTTTCTTTACTGTGCAAGATGGTGCTTTTTTTACTCTTTCCTTTTTGCCAGTTTGATATGAAGCAAAAGGAAGTATTTTCTGCACCAAACTAGGTGTTAGGAAATTGTCTTTGCTTCTTACTCCACTTTAGAGGTTTCTGAATCAATTTGTTAATGATCACAGAATGCTGCCTGTGGTATTCTGCAATCAGGTTTTCTCTTCCAACGTCCCACAATGGCTAATGCACATTTTGTAGTGTTTCCTTAAAATTCTACTTTGGTTTTATCTTCTCCTCCCCCAGTATTGTGTTATTTTTTTTGTTAGAGAAATACTGATAATATTACACATTTTACTTTAAAATAAAAGTTTTGCACTATGTTTACTTTTGAAGAGTCAAAATGCCTCAGTCTTCATGGCTTCTCATTCAATTAATTCCATTTTGAATGTTCTTATCCCATGTAGCATACGTTTCATTAATACAACACATCCCCGTTCTTGGTTATGTTCATTCCTTTGCTCTGAATGCAAGACTACTAATCAAATGCGATTAAAATGTTGCCCAGCCCGTTGCTGCTATGTAACATATAGGATGATGTAAAGCAGAAACTGAACAGAGTCCCAGTTTTCCGAGATCGGCGGTAGCCAGGCTGCCTGTCTCCTCGCCTCCTGCTGCCTACATCCAGCATCGGGCCACCCCCACGCCACAGCTTAGATATTATTTGCTCTTTTGCGTTTCAGATTACGAGAGCAATTGATCTGCGTGACCTGTTTGAGAAACTTCCACGTTTGCTGGGGAAACCTAAACCAAATGTATCCCCTCAAGAGACAAATCAGCTGAAAACTGGGCAGTTGGGAGGCAGCCAGTGCTCCTCTGCCATGAATTCTGGTAGGACAGCACCACCTCATGGCCTACTCATAAGTCACCATCCGAACCCCTTGAAATAAGTTTTCACTGTTTCACTGCTGAAGCTTCGGCTGTGAATTTAATCTTTCGTTTAATTTAATTGGTTTAATCTTTGTTGCATGTCTCTGTATTAGGGAATTACATAATTTCATCTTTTCAAGGTTCCAGTTTCTGAAATGTAGGATCTATGTAATTAAAAACAAAATCTTGTCTGTTCTTAGGCAACGTCCTGCAGCAGCCTGTGTGAACTCAATGGGCCGACAGTGCTTAAAATACTTAGAAGGAGGCTATGTGGGACTTGGCCTTTCATGTGTTGCATTTTTAAAAAGTTGGTAACTCTATCTCATCAAAGGTAGTTTGTAGTGGAAAACTTCTCCATAGGAGTCACTTCTGCATCAAAACTAGTCTAATTAGTCGTTCCCAACTGTAGTAGTTTAGGTAAGTGCCCAAGCTCTTAATTTTAAAATTTATTCAATATAAATTGGGTTTCTTTTTATAGTATCTACTCTGGGTTTTATTCCAGATTTCTGAAAATGCTTGCCTTCATTACATGCATTAACCATGGAAAATTTCCTCTTTTTAAAAATATGGTTTAGACATTGGAAACTTTTTTTTTGGTAATAAAACCAAGTTTATATTCTTACATCAATTACTGTATCTCCTCCTGGTACTGAGACTGTGCTTTTTTTGGTCAGAAACATGCAGTCTCTGTACATCACCTAACATCTCATTGAAATTCTTAATTTCTTCTGAAATAGGCAGTGTGTATGGGTTGACTGTATGTTTAGAATCAAAAACATGAGAAGTGTCTAATATTAATATTGTAACAACCTTAAATTTTCTGCTCTTTGCAGAGGGGATTGTAGAATGTAGTCACCTTTTCATGAATCTGTAGATGGAAGCTATTTAGGTAAGACATTTGAAAATCAGGCTTTTTGGACATATTGAAAAATTAACTGTAAAGCTTTTTTATTTTCAATTTTTTTAATCTTTATTTTTATGGTTAACAAGGCACTTCCATCAGCAGTGCTTGTCAGTGCTGCTGAATCAACGGTAAATGCTCTGTCTCTTACGACTTTTGCAAGAGCCTTTCTGTTATGTTTTGGGTTTAAGTCATTTTGAAGTTTCCTTTAACAAAGTATATCTTTTAAAAATTCAGAGTGGCAGTACACGATGAAGTGTTAACAGTCAATTTTATATGGTAGTAAATAGTTGCTTATTGTTCTGATGGAAAAGTAAACTTGATAAAACACTGTTTGTTTAATGAAAATGACTATTCAGCACTGTCGAATTCTCCCTACAATATGTCACGGGAACCTACTCCAATCATCTTAATCGTAAACAATGCTGCTGCTTCTTGCAGAGGGTTAAACGTATGCAAATTGGAACCTACTGTTTCATGAGTGATCAATTCTTTGTTGGGAGTGGAAAGAAATGTTGTGTGTATTGCTAAGATACTAGAGGAAGGAGAGTCAGCGTCTTTGTTCTAAAGTATATGCATCTTTTGAAGATGCTGCTTTGGAGGGAATGCTTTCCTGTTTCTCTTATTTAAAAATATAGCCTGCTCTAAAATAATAAGAAAAATCTCTAAATAGAAGAACATCTACCATTTCTAGTGAAGGCCCCAAGTATAAATGGAGCTGTGCATGCCACCTGTGGTAGCAGATGGCAGCCATTCACAGCTTCCTTTTGTGTTAGACCTGCCTTATAAGCAATATTTTTTAATAAGAGTTGTTTAAAATAATTTACAGCAGCAACAAAACACAGCTATGTGCGTTAAAGAGGTAGTTTACAATGAAGATAAACTTTTTCAAGTGCAAACTGTAACCTGAAGTAACTTAAAAAAAGTTACGTTAGAGGATTTAATGTGAATTTATAGGGTGTTTTTTACATGTGTGATGCTGACGCTTTTGTTGCCACCCAGTGGATGACTGCTGCTGCTTCACTGTAGAGAATCAGTTGTTTTTTTATGATCAGAACGACACTTGGGAATTTTTAAATAACACCTGGAGTCTTCAGTTTTAGTACCTGAGCTTAGGTTGTTACCTAAAGTTCCTTAAGTTGTAACTAAATATACCTCCTTTCATAGCAGGTGCGTCTTTTGAGAAGTTCCCTGCTGATGCTCTCCAGCTTCTGCTCTCCCTTGTGCTGATACAGATACTTGTGAAGCTGAAGTAAAAGAAACAGGTTCTTTGTATTTGGTCTTAAGCATTATTAACCCCCATTTCCAGAAGAGTAATTTTTTTAAAAAAAAATCATTTTGGTGTTTTAGTGTGTGTTATTGGCCCTCAAGGGAGTATAGCGATATAACTGGTGTTGGCAATATTGGGAGGAAATGTATTTTTTTCTTCCCATGATTCTAATAAAAATGTCAGTTATATCTTGAAATTCAGTAGTGTTCCTTCCCATAAGGTAAGTTTAGTCTTAATAAATAGTGCTAGAGCACTGCAGCTGTGAAGGGCATTTCTCTAAGCCCTCCTATCCCTTCAGGGGAAAAAAGAAATAATTTCATTATTTCTAGGTTGAAGGGAGGCTTATTTCTCTGTTCTAGACTTTGAGAAGAAGAAAGCTAATTTCCAGAGGCAGAGAACGGGAACGATGATGGGAGGCCAATACTCAGATATGTTTGTGCTTCATCTTCAAATTACTTTCATCTCTCGTTTTGAAGGCTGTGTCGGCTGGTGGTGTAGTTGTTTTGAAAACAGACATATACAGCAAATGGGAAGCTGCAGTTATGATGGATGGGTAAATGGAGTGGGAGAAACGGATATGCTGAAATGCACGTGGGATTTAAAATTGTTCTAGGTCTACTTGAAATATTAATTAGAGAAGATACAAAAAAATTAACCCAGAAGTGAAAAAAAAGCAAGGGAAGAAAGAGGGACTGACTGGCCAAGAAGTAGTAGAATTTGTAGGTATGAAATCAAGTTTGGTAAAATTCACAATGAGTTAACTGATGGTATTAAAACCCTCCAAATTTAAAATATTCTTTATCTATGTAAATAAAAAGGGAATTACCAAAAAAGTGAATTTTTCATGCAGCTGGAGTATAGATTAAGAATAGTTTAGGCATGGTCCCCAGAATAAATTAATAAGGAAAAAAACATGGACCAGCAGGTTAAAAGCAAGATATGTACTGGAAATCAGAACATGGAGTTGGAAATTTGTACAAAATCTCAGAACTTCAATGTAGTCAAATCATGATGATCAGTTAATCTCTGCATTGAGTTCAGGCACAGTGGATTTGAGAAATCCCAAGTTCTGAAGGGTGACTATTTTTCATTGAACCGAAGATGGTACCATTTGATCAGAGGGCAGCAAATTTAATGCCTATAATTAAGTTGGCAGAGGGGAACGGATAATGGCGTCAACAGGGCCTGACACAGTAGTGGTTCAGGATTCATTAAAGATTTTAAGGGGGGGAAGAAAAATAGAAAGCAAGCTGCAATGCAGTATAATTTGCTATCTCAATAAAAAAAGGATATGCCAAACCAGCTTGATGCTTTAAGAAAATCTGTCTTTCCTTCGTTAAGAAGACCTGGTGTCTGATGGTAAAGTGTCTGATCAAGTGCTAATAGGATGTCTAGAGGAGATTAGCAGAGAAAATATTAACTGAATAAGATGAATAAGCAGAAGCAATGCTTCTGTGTTGAAAGAATTATTGGACTGAAGAGAGGTTAATAGTGGAATTACTCTGGGATTGATTTTAAAACTCATCTTGTTTAGTACTGTTCTTATTTTCTGGAATGCAGAAAGTAAGATGAATCCTGGAAATTTACTGATGGGGGAATGCTGAGAGGAATGTGAGGGAGAAGCACGATACGTTACAGTAAGTGCTGAATGACTGTAGAGTTGTGGGGAGAAGGAGGAAATTCAACAATAGAATATGCGTTTAGAGACCAAAACAAAGAATAAGCTCAAAACTAATCAATGAAAATGATGGTAGAAACGATATTTCCGGCTGAGTTAAAGAGTAACTAACACCAGTGAATGTCCTTCTAGTCATCTGCATTGGAAAAGGATGGATGCAAACTGGAGCAAATGCAAAGGGAAGTTAGGAGTTAGACAACTTCAGAACTATCTTGTGAGAAGAAAAGAAGAGCTTGGGGTTGTTTGTTTGGGGCTGCAGAAGTTAGAGGGAGAGAGCATTATTGATGGTAAACTCAAACACGCACAGGGAAGCAGAGCTTTTAAGGGAAAGGACTGTTTTGAACAAAGAACAAATGGATAGAAGTTGGTTATCAGTACACCTAGAAATTTGATGGTTCTTATTCATAATAACAGCAGTAGGATTTCTAATAAAGCCATTCAGTTGGAATAGGGAGATGCTTTATTACCATTAGGCTGAAGCTCGATAACTTTGTAAAGAGTATATGGTGTGTCTCTGATAACCCCAGAATAATTATAGGTTGATGACCCTGGAGATATCTTCAAGATTTATGTTAGTATAATCAGGGATATTTTTTGTCTGCAGAAGATTAAGCATTGTACCAAAAAAAATATCATTTTTTCTTTTGAATAAAATTCACATTCCCTTTAATGCTTGTGAGACTTTTTTTGTAAAAATTGTTTAAATTTGTTGATATGGTAATGACAAATTGAATTCAAAACTATGCCAGTACTACACAGTAAGAAAAGGCAAAAGAGAAATAACCGCAGTGAGGGATCACAGAAGATGCTGTTAGAATTTGAGGGAAAGTAGAACAAGAAGTCTCACTTCTGATGCAAATCTTGGGAACTAAGAGCTTGATGCGAGTATGGGCATAATGGTGTCATTCTAAATTCATGAAAATAGCTTTACAAATGAAGGAGAGGCAAAGTGGGGTCAGTGCAATTCAAACACACGATGACAATTTTAGCCTAAATAGAATGCTCTTTGTGACTAGATGAATTAATTACTGTAAGACAGTGTTCTTGCTTGTCATTCTGATTCTTTCTGCTTGTTAATCACTCCTAAATTGTAGCTATTGCAATAATATTAAGATTTATTACTTACAAAATTTTGCTAGTCTCTTTTCTAGTTTAATGTTTGTTCCCATATTAATGTAAATGTTTTGAAATGTGTTTCTTATTTTACGTTTCTACTCTTCGTCCTCTGTGGTACTTTCTTTATGCCTATTAAGTATTATTGTTCTACTAAAAAAAACACTGTATGACTGTTTTAAATGTTTTGCTTTCATAGTTAAGCTTAATTTACCTATTCAGCAAATCTCATGACATACTGAGTCTGAGTTGAGAAAGAGATTAGTATTAGAAAAAAAAAGTTCCGGTGACGATAAGAAGGAACATCAGTAGAATGGTTTAGTTTCTTTGTACCTCGTTGATCTTGTAGTGCTTTCATTATTTCCCTTCTTATTGCTTATGAGGATGCTGACACACTTTAGGAAACTCTGGATGTACTGGAGGTTCTAACAGAACTCAGTTTGCTATTAATGGGAAGAAATTTCCCATGCTATTAATCACATGGAGAACTTTAAACATGAAAACTGAGAAAATTCTTATCCAATACCATGAGTTATAGTAAAAATAGAGCAAATAATAATAGGGAAATATATGCAGATTTATTTGCACAAGGAAACACTTATTTTTAGTTGTACAAATCACTGTGGTCTTACTAAGTACATTTTTTCTTCTTACTCTTTTCAAAGAGCTGCTGATCTTTTGAAAAAAATAATTGGGGGAATTAATCTTCTATTTATCCAAACTATTCTATGTTCTTTCTCTGTGTTTTTTTTGTTTGTTTAATTACATGGAACATTTGCATGAAAATAGGATTTTAAGACTTGAACAGCTTCTGATGCTTTTTCCCAGATACATGAGTAAACTGCATTTATTGCATTTGTAAACTGAAACAACTAATGTTTTGTAAAATTCCTTGCCTGCTGTTTTACGCTAAATTATGAATGAATATTTCCTAATATGCCTTAGAAAGGGTCCCCCTGCCTCCCTCTTGAAAATACATACCACTAATGTATATAATTCTCCTTCCTCTCCCTTCCCCCATCATGTCTCTTTCAAGATCTGCCAAGGATGTCATGTTGGTAGTCATCTCATTTCTGTGGCCAGTTAAATTAAGATTTCTGCAGTTCCTCCATTCTCTAAAATAAGTATCATCTTGTGCTACATCAAATCTTTTAAATCAGACTACAGTTTGCAAAAGTTCTTTCAGACTTTTAGGATATTTTTATCTTTTCCAAAGGATCTTTGTAAAGAAAATGAAGTGGATTTATAGCAAAATGTATCCACAGTGAAGTGGAAATACAGAAATAGAAATTTGATAGGGATGTATCCTCTGGCAAAACTTACTAATAATTGTCAGATGATAGAGGTACTTCTTCAGTGGGGACACGAACTGATCACTGTATTGCTGCAAAAATAGAAAGGGGAGAGACTGCTCTTTGCTCTACAAGTTCTGATAACTGAACCCGAATATTTATATCATACCTGATCAATAAAATGTTTAAAACTTTCTTGCATTATTTTCTAAAATGAATTTATTTTCTAAAATGTACATTAGGTTCTTGATTGGCAGTTTAGATAATATTTCTTGTTACTGTTTTTATGTTTAATATCTTGAATGTTTAATATTGTAGTTATATTTAGTGTTTAGTAGTGTTTAGTTTATGGATTTTAGATAGAAAACGTATTTCTACTACTTCTCTCCGAGTTCTGCTTTCATACAACAGATCTTTTTTAGATTGTTTTTAGATATTGACTAGTTGCAAAATACAAAAATTCTGCTATAAAAGAGAGTAAATATTATGGTTCTGTTTAATTACAGAATAAACAATTTTACTGGTTCATGTCTCAAGTGTGGAATACTGAACTTCAAACATAAAAGTAATCAGTTATCTAACTAAAGTTTAATTATGATTTCTATTCATTTAGATTTCTCATATTGGAAAGCTGAAAGATTTTCTTCTGCAACACAGAAAGGATTACATTAATGCTTACAGGTAAGTGTGCACTGTGTTTAAATAGATTTATTTATTTGTTTATTTTCCGATTTTTATAAAGTTAACCATTTAAAAATCTGTAAGCGTAATGACTAAAACCAAAATGTAGATTGTTTATTATTAATTGGCTTACTGTAAGCTACTTCATAGGTAGGATGGTGCTGTCACAAGAAGAAAATGGTCCTGAGTAAAACAAGACTCAGAATTCGAAGATTTCTGGCTCTTACGAGTGAGTTCTGAAACAAAACAATCTGACAGTCCAAGTCCGACACCTTTTAAGAACCTGCAGAGTAGGTTTCTGAAGTGGTTCCTGAGACAGCAGGAGAGACTAGATTCTGTGATCCAGGTTATTCCTTTCACTCTGAGAGACTAAACCTACCTGTAATCACTAAGTAGTCAGTAGCATCAGCACGTCCTGGAGGAGAATGGTGAGAACTCCTCAGACTCCTGAATGTGAATTCCAGATGAAAGATACCGTTGAGAACATAGTGTTAAGGAATAGCAGCATAGGATTTGCTTTTCTATGACAAAAACTTTAGGCTCCTGTTCTGGTGGTTATTATTATGCGTAGAAAGTTTTGAGTGTTTCCTAATGGCTGAAGAGAACCAAACTCTTCTGTGTCCGCTTACTTGCTGATGGCTTTTAGGAGTAGGATTTTCAGAGGATTAAAAAACAAGTTTACGCATTGGTGTTATTAAGGAAAAAAAAATAAAATCATGTGAATTACTACATCAAGTTATCCTAAGATTTAAACGTTACTGCAACTGGTATTTTTGTGAACTGAGTACAAATAATCATATTATTTGAGAAATGGAAAACTTGATTTATTTTTTTTAATGAAGCTCTTGTTACATGCAAACTTAGTAGCCCTATTATAGGTTGCACAATATTTCATTCCAGAAATATACAATACTTGGTAAGTATCTCCGCTTACCTAACTTCGCTGTTGTAAGTAGAAGTGTAACAGTTCCAGCTGAACTAATCATACTGTTTATTCATACTGTTTCACATTGTAGAAACGAGTTTGTGACACACACGACTGCTGTAAATATGTTTGAAAAAAGTAGATATCCTCTGCGTGTCTTCATAGTGCAGACACCACAGCATCTAACTAATGGTTCTTCCTTCCTTCCTTCTCAGCCTATAGCTATGTCTAAGATAAAAAATGAACGGTGCAATATAACATACAGTGAATGTTGTCTTTGGGGAAAATATATTTGTCTGTGGAAGAATGCTCACCAAAATTGCCATGCCTTCGTCACACTGTCTTTTAAATTGGGATGATCTGCTGCCCTGGTTATGCATAAAGAGATGTTCTCCAGGGTTCTGAGACTCCACTTTATTTTGAGATTCATGGTTCAAAACCAAACTTCTAAAATTCCAACCAAATGTAAAATCGGAAGAATGTACAGTGTGTGTGAGATACAGAATTAATGCATCCCAGTTGGCATGCATTGAAGAACTAGGATGCACCCTTTATAAAGAAGCCAATGAATTTCTACCAGGTGAAGTTTGCAGATTGTAGGGTGCAACCACTTTAAAGAATGTAAGCACACTGTTCTTGAGGTGACAAAAGTGGATCATTGTGGCAATGCCCTTTTTGAGGGTGAAGGAAATACCACTTAAAACAACTGAATGTCTTCTCTTTTTCAGTCATCTGAGATGCATGCAATCCAGTTGGTTGTTTTTTTAGGGGGGAGGTATATCCAAATGAAACAATGTAGGTAAGCCTTTGCTTTTAAAGTATCTTCTGAAATGTCACAATTCCCTGTGTTGTATCTCTCTGGTCCCTCACTGTAACTCTACTATTGCATGGGATGTCAGCCCTGTCTGCGCTGGTTCTGCCACACCCCTGACTAAAGCTGAGCTGTTGCTGCAATCAAGGTAGAGAAAACATAGTCTAAAGTCATCTTGGGTTGAAGATACTGAGTTCCAAGTCAATTTAATACCTTTCTCCAAAAGGCTTCTCAGATACCAAATAGGAACGTTATCCATCCCCCAGGAGAAGACAGTAGGAACAGATGAGCTGTCTGCTATTCCTTAGGCTCTGTCCATACTGAAGGAACAATCTTTCCAAGAAACAACTTGTAGGCCTGAAAGAGTCTGTCACGGTAATAGCAATGCTATACAATGAGTGGTATCAAAATGTGTCCCTAAGTTAGTTGCTGGAAGATTTCTGGTACCGTTTTTTGTCTCTCTGAGTTTTTAAAAGCAGTATTTTGTTGTTTCAAAAATGCAACAAAAATATGAAGTGTAAGGCCACGAGAGCTATTCGTAGTCAGCACAAGTGAAAATGGAGCTTGGGGCTGTGGGTGTCAATTCTGTGTGCAAGGTGTATGAGGAACTTCTTTTCCAAGCAGCAAGCAGAAGTAGTGTACAGCTACATGTTATGAAAAGCTCTCCGCTTTTTAATTCCTGTTGGAATAGGTCATGAGCAACACTAGGTGGAGCTACCAGTGTAATACTGAAGTAACTGGGTTTACTGTTTGAAAACTTCATGTCAATGCATAAGCTGAGAAACTGCAAATAACTGTAGTAAGAGCAGTCAGTAGCAGTTAAATTTTGGGTACTATTTGTATTTTATTAACAGTAGTATGCATAAAATTGAAGTGGTAAGAGAAGTAAAAATTTGTCCAAGCTATTTTGATTTTAATTTTTTATTTTTGTAAACTCCGTTTTAACCAGTTATCATGGTAATTCTCAGTGATTTTTGCACACTCCCCTTCCAGATATTAACTATTAAACCCTGAAAAAACCCTTCAAATCTAATCTGTGATTGCAGTTGATCCTGTCCTTGATGGTCAAACTTAAAATAGATAGTACTGTCAAATTCCATACTATATTGCTTATGCTGTTCTACTTTGTGGATGCAGAGAGGATCATGGCATCCATGCTGTCAGTCTCACAGCCTTAGCAAATGCCTCCCCAGTTCAAGACAGCAGTTTTAATAACTTTTCAATACTTAAGCTATGGGTAAAATTTTAAAACAATTTAATCCTAAAAGGCTGTGCTGGAATTTATGTAGAAGTTTTAATTTTATTAATGAAGTTTAATTACTCTACATTTGGTCAATCTTGCTATTTGTTTTTCAACTGTAGCAGAATGTGTTGATGAAATTTGGCTTTTGAGTTACTAAGTTGCATTATGCCTTGTGAAAGTTACTGGTAACGTGTTGCATCCAGGTTCTTGATTGCTGCTTTGACCTTACTTTTGCAGACTATAAATTCTTTAGTAATAGAGTTTTTATTTTTGGCATATATAAAATATCCTGCTACAGAGAGGGTGTCTCTAATTCATTTTTAAAGGAAGATTTTTTAGCAATGAGAAAGACAACTGGAAGAAGGGTTAATTGAAACTAAGGCCTTGACCTATTTTATCAACCATTAAATATTTAATTGAAATACCTAAATTGAGTCCAAAAAGCTCAAGAGTTAGTAATTGCTTATTCGCTGCCTTCTTGATTTAACTGTAAGCTATAAAATACGTGAATAGCAAAACATGTGGCACTAGTGATGCCGTGATCTAAGCTTACCAGCAGTTGCACCTTTATCCTCTACTGTTTATCAAGAGTCATTTGCTTTCTTTTGCACCTTGGTTTTCAGCTCTCTGTGATAAGAGACTTTTCTGTTCTGTCTTCTTTCCTGTTTTATCCCGTCTACCATGATTCTCTCCTCTGCACAGAACTTCTGAGAGCTTTAGTGGTACCGGAAATGTGATGTGGTGTCTTCCACTGACAGCATCAGTTACAATGGAAAGAAACTTGAAACTGGCCTGTTAGAAAACTCTGATTTACAGAGGGGCACATATAGAAGTTCTTTCTTCAAACTTCTCTCTAAATGTGTGGTTATTTCTTGTCATTTGGCTTGAAAATGGGGGATTATATCCATCTTAAGATCTGTGGCCAAAATAGTGAAGACTTGGGCTTTCTCTGCAACACACGTTTTAAGGAAAAATAATAAATAATGAAAACACTGCATGAGTAGCAAAGACTATGAGTGTCTCCTGTTGTTATTAATTGCACCTACTAAAGGAAGGACCAATAAGTTTATATGTACCATTACTTTTGTTTAACATTAGAACCTTGTCCTAAGGAAAAAGAACTTAAATAATTTTAATTATTTTCTTGCTGGCTTCACAGATGCATTTCAAACCTAACAAAGCCCTTTGGATATTGTACTCATAATCAGTGAACGTGTTCAGTGGCAGGGTATTTTATAAGAAACGTGTAGCTGAATCATGGGGCATTGCATCATCACTGTTCCTGCTAATAGTAGCTGTCTCTGAGCTGTTAGTTGCGATGTTGTTAACTTCAGTCTCTCTCCAAGAATCTTTGGAAAGAAGTGAAACTCAACAATCAAGAACTGTTTTAGGACATCTCAGATTATTTGAAAATTAATTTGTTTCTATTGGAAAATGCTCTGACAATACTTAAAACCAGCAGTGGTAAACAGTATTTGAATATTTGTTCATATCTGGTTTGTGATTTATCTCAAGGACTTCCTCACTAGCTTTTTCAAGTAAGCTTATTAAGCTTCGGAGTGGCATTTAGAAAGCATGTATGGGGTGTAGTCCTTGAGGCAATGCATAAGAAAAATAGCCAAGGACTTTTCCTTAAAACAGAACTGATTAACTCTTTTTTTTTTTTTAAGTTTACTTGATAATCACAGAAGTAATTCTCAATTGATGAGTAAATATATTAGAAAATTATCCCTGCTAAATTGTCATCTGCAAGGACTTTCCCAACAATGTTGTGTTTGGTTAATGTGTATCTTTAGTGAGTTAATGACGAGCAGTACCTTGAAAAAAAGAGACCGCTTCCTGACTCTATGAAGTCTGAATATCAGATTCTTATTCTTATCTCATAAGTGGTGTGCTGACGAGACTTTATCAACTTTAGTGGAATAATTTCTCATATATGTTGCCATAACAGAAAAATGAATAGTACCTTTGCTTTTTTCAGTTCTGTAGAGAATTAGCTGTAAGGGTAGGTGGCTAGTTGT